GCTACTAAGAAGGGCCTCCCCTCCTGTGCCTGGATGCTGGTTTCTGGAAGGAAAACAATTGAACAGGAGCCACCAGAAAACCCTCCTGGTGAATGGGGGTGTCCAGAGCAAGGACGGGGTTGGGAAGCCCGGGTCGGCTCCTGGATTTGCCCACTGCCCTTCCACCAAGTTTATGGGGAAAATCTCCCCGGACGCACCTGCAGCCAGACAGCCCTGAAGCCCAAGCAGAAGGCAGAGGAGCCCGAGGGCTCGGGAGACCATGATGAAATCTCTGCAGCGCTGCCTCTGCCTGTTGACATTCCCCATGGGACTGGCGGGCAAAGTTCTCTGCCTCCAAAGGCGACAGAGGGATGGGGGAGGCGGGGACAGAGGCGTCCTCTGAACACCCCAGCTGAGAGCTGCACCTGGCCGGCCAGTGGCCATGCATCCCCTGCTGCCCAGCTGCTGAGCTGAAGCAGGGAGGACAGGAGAAAGGTCAGGCGGCCCCAGCTGTGCTGCAGAGCGGATGGTTTTGTTGCCAGCGTGCAGGTGTTAAGGTGTGTGTGTGACACCAACACTTCAAATACGATCTAGAATTCCAAACCCCTAGGACATAGGAACGTAGGTTGGGAAACAGATTTAAACTGCAGATGAAAACTTGGCCCATAGCAATAATGCAAGTCAATTCTTGAGAGTGTATCTTGGGTGTGGATGTAAATATTTGAAGAGAGCCTCCAGGAGACCAGGCCAGCTAGGCCATTGCCTGCAAGGGAGGCTGGTTTCTTAGTTGAGCCACAGAGCCTGACTGAGAAGTGCTGGGAATAGGATCATTCTGGCCCTGAGCTGGGCAGCCCCACTCTGTTTTGACTGCAGGCAGCACCCCCATTCTCCAGCAGTCCACGTCTTACGTCTTTTGTTTGTTTTTGTTGTTGTTGTTGTTTTGAGACGGAGTCTTGCTCTGTTGCCAGGCTGCAGAGTGCACTGGTGCAATCTCACTGCAACCTCCACCTCCCGGGTTCAAGAGATTCTTGTGCCTCAGCCTCCCGAGTAGCTGGGACCACAGGTGCACGCCACCATACCTGGCTAATTTATATATCAGCTATCCCTGACTGTGGTGCTGGGCACACGGGAGCTGTCTGGGGAGTGTGCGAGTCAGATGTGTGCGACATCAGAATCTCCTGGGTGGTGGCTCGTGCCTGTAATCCCAGTACTTTGGGAGGCTGAGGACTGAGGATCGCGTGAGGAAAGAGTTCCAGACCAACCTGGGCAACATAGCAAGACCAAACCTAGACAAAAAATTAAAAAATTAGCCGGACTTGGTGGTCAGTGCCTGTGGTCCCAGCTACTCAGGAGACACAGAACCCGAGAGGCGGAGGTTGCAATGAGCTGACATTGTGCCACTGCACTCAAGCCTGGGCGACAGAGGGAGACCCCGACTCCCTCCCTACCAAAGAATCTCCGTGCTCACACTTGTACATGAGCACCACACTCACGCAACCCAAACTCACGCCATACACATGCTACACTCACACAACCCAAACTCACACCATACGCACGCCACACTCACACAACCCAAACTCATGCCATACGCACGCCACACTCACACAACCCAAACTCATGCCATACACACACCACTCTCACACCCACCATACACACGCCACACTCACACAACCCAAACTCACGCTACACACATACCACACTCACCCCCCACACACCACACTCACACCCACCATACACACGCCACAC